CCCTCAAGCCTGTCCTCTTGCCTTTCCTCAGATTTTATCATTACCATGGGAACTAGTGTTCAAAAGAGAAACTCATCGATTTTTCCCTAAATACAAGCACTGAAAAAGTATACTTGTCTTGTAAGGTGGGGATAAATTTCCCTCAAGCCTGTCCTCTTGCCTTTCCTCAGATTTTATCATTACCATGGGAACTAGCAATTGAATGGTTTGGATTCTCAAATGCCTCAATTCCCAAAACATGGTGTGCAGAAAAGAGGACAGGTGATACACTGTCACGAGAAAATTATACCCCAGCCACCATTTTTGATGAATGATTTGGCAGTAGGTTTCCTATGATAATGTGAAAATCAGTCCTCAAGAAACAGCACCACTCTGGATAAAGTGAAGAAGGTTCAGTCTTCGAATTTGTAAAACCAACATCCTGTGATAGATTTTGGCAACCCCGTCAAGGATCTCACGAGTCCTGCTAGAAGAAGACAGATGGCCACTGTCTGACATGTCTCTTTAGGTAATCATGTCCATGATTAATATGTTTACCCTTGGAGGTTGGATCAAATGATTAAATTCTGGGAGGCAATCTGTGTATCAAATGTTCTAATATGAATATCCTTTAAACTAGAAATTCATTCCTAAGAATTTATACTAAAGAAATAAAGTCATGAGTGTGAATATACTTATGTACAAAAAAAAAATTCGTAAGAGTAACATCTCCATCAAGGGAAATGGTTCCGTAAATTATGGTACAATGGGATACTGCACTGGCTTTTAAAAATTAGGAAGTAGAATGTTTAGGTGCAAAGAAATATATTCCACTATATTATTGGATTAAAAAGTAGGCTACAGAACTATATTTATGAAAAATACCCTATGCACACGGAGATGTTTAGAACATGTTGGTGTTATTTCAGCAATATTTAGTTCCTTGTTTGGGCGTTGTCTTAATTTCTTACAATAAGCATGTAATGTTTTACAAAAAAGTTATTTCAGTGATAAAAAGAGTAAATATCATTTAGTCTGTCAAAATTTGATGACACCTAAATGTCCAGCTTGACTATAAATGTGTCCAAAATACAAAAAAAAAGAAAAACCTGAAACATTGTCTGTTTTACAAAAACACAGAAACTTATGTCATTAGGATGAGGACCACAGTGTTAACAGAAATTTTATCTATTCCAGTTTATATGATATCTAGAAATACATTTTTTAAAGTTTCCTAACATGCATGGGCTTTTAAGAAAAGCTTCATTTAAGAACTCAGTACAAAGTTTGAATTCATTAGAACTGCCTCCAGGATATTGAAGTACTTTAACTCTTTCAAAATTGTACATTCCAAGGACTCCCTCATCCAGTTCCAACTTGTTCTGCTGCTAGCTGTGAGGGCAAGCTTAGCCTGGTGAAATAAAGTGTGTGGTTCCCTTAAAAAGGCTTTGTGTAGCTTAAGACCCCTTTCTTAGATCAGGATGCGAGGGTACCAAAAGGCATGAACATATAGAAAAGTCACAGAAATGTGCCAAGCTGCTTTTACATAGAGATTATATTAGTCCCCACTGAAGTTCAAATACAATGAAATAATACTGAAGGGAAGGCAACATGCTGAAATGAGAACAACACAGGTAACGTTTTCATTAAATTCAGACAAAGGGAAAATCTTCAAGAAAGACACCAAACCAGGTAACCAAAGAGCAAGAGCCAGGGGCTAAGAAAGCATGGGTTCCTGATGAACCTGGAATGAGAAATGGCAATAGTTGACCAAATCTTGCAGTTGAGCATCGATTTTGTGCTCAGAACAGTGTTGAGAGCTGTGGGAAAGTACAAAAGTAGAAGACAGGAATCTTTCCCTAATACCAAAATCACAGGGAGAGGGAACAATAAGAGTCCAGTTAAGTGTTTAGGAAAACAACTCAAAAAGGCGAGAGGTAAGCGTGGCTGGAGATGTTCCTGGAGACTTCAGGGAACTGAGAAGACCAAAGCTGACACTTGCGCCTGGATGTGTACGAGAAGCAACTGCAGTGACTGAAAGAGGAGGAAGTTTCTCACCTCCTGAGGGGGAGCAGAGCTAGGGACAAACTGCAATTCAGGGTTCCCCACTCTCCTTTCTAATTTTTCCTAACATTTGTTATCACATGACACATGGTTAAAATTAAGTAATCCCCAAAATAAGGAAAAGAGGTGTCATAAAGCAGCAACATTCACCCTAAGAGGTAAGGGGCAGTTGGAGGAGGCTTTCCAGCACTGCAGCGTGGGAGGCAGGAAGGAGACTTCCAGGAAGCCGGCCCTGGCAAGGCAATGCCAGACAGGCACTTACCAGTGGCATTACTGTTCCTGCGCCCCCGCAGACACACACGTTGTTAAAAGCCTGTAGAGTGAAGCTCAGACAGGTTAAGTAGTCTGCCCAGCGTTTGAACCTTCGCCTGTCTAAGCCAGGAGCTCTCAAAACTTTTAGACTTGGAATCCCTTTATACTCTTAAAAATTATTGAAGAATCCAAACAGCTTTTATTTATGAGGGATACACACATATACACACACAATATATATATATATATATATACACACGAATATATATGTATACATATACATGTATATATATTTTTACCATATTAGAAATTTCACCTGGGAAATTGTTAAAACACAGCACAGGAGCACACATTCCCTTAGCAATCAGAACAATGATGTCATCACACATCATGTGGCCTCTAAAAAACCCCACTGTATACTCATGAGAGAATGAGAGTTAAGAACACAAACAACAAATTAATATTATGATAAAAATAGTTTTGACTTCTCGGATTCCCTAAGAAGATCAGAGTTGCCCAGGGGTCCAAGATCGCACTGTGGGAATTGTTTTATCCTCAAGTCTGTACTTCATTATTCCAAGGCCAGCCCGTGGTACAATCAGTGGACGACCTTCACAATCTGGCTCTGAGCTTCTTTTACTGCCTCAACTCCAGCAACCTTAGCTAAGTACTCCCTAACTAGCCACACCAAAATAAACCCTCTCCCCGTAAACGCACCGTGAGCACAGGTGCTCATGCTGTATCTTCTGCCAGGAACGACGTCCTTCTCCTTCTAGAGATTTCCACTGTAGCTCTGAGGGTTCTGCTGAAATGTCACCTACCCCACTCCCAGGCAGAACTGATCACTTTTCATAGAACACTCTTGCTTTTACCTCTATCTCATTTTAGCACACTCCATTGTTTACTCGGGGATTAGTATTGTGTCTGTTTCCCCTTCTTTCTTTCCACAATTTTATAATGAGCCCCTGCTCAGCAATGGTCACTGCAGCTAGCACCCAGACCTGCCCTTAAAGAGCTGAGTCTCCCTGATCTACTGAGGGGAAGAAACTATCGTTTATTAATCTTTAATTCTTCATTCCTGGTATCCGGTACTTATTCAAAACTGTTTTATTTGCTTTGCCTAATTGCTCTAAAATGATGTTATCACTGGCTAATGAGACCGAGTGTAATATTATTTTCTTTGTACTTTTCTGCAGTAAATTTTATAATTATAAATGTAATACAATGTTAAAGTGTTTCTCTATAGCTTAGCATCTAATAGGAAACTGATGTGTGTGACATACACAGACCTATGTGCTTTACATACATATTGATGCTTTTTAATTATTTAAACTATTAAGAGTAACAGGCAGAGGTGTGACTGTTTGACTCAATTGTACAGTGATACTTCCTACATCATATGTGCATATTCTATTGGCGCCTGTAACTTGTACATATTTGTGTTACCTAGGCTTTATCTTCCTGTCCCAGATGGAAGACTCCAGATCTTCTTTGTGTCCCATTTCCTGAATTCCTCATGGAATATTGCCTGTCTTATGGCCACGCATAAGCCTAGCTTTTTAACTTTGCAGATCTCAATTAGCAGAATGTTCTCTTGGAAACAAATACATCTCTCAGTGGCCACCAGGGAGCCAAATTAACTGGTTGCCTTCATAAAGTTCAGTAAAACATTTATGGAGGAATGTTTCCCCGCAGATGGAATTAAAAATGGATTGTTTTGTAAAGGATTTTATCTCCTAGAATAACGAGGAAACAGAGTGTTTGAAGTGGTGACATGACACACTACTCATTACTAACAAAAGGCTTTCCACCCCTTGCACAAAATCTGAACTCTTCACAAATGCAGAAGCTTTTACAAAAGAGAAAAGAAAGAATGGGCTGGAGTTATTGTTTAATTGGCCGCAAGCTGCAGACTTGCTTTCTGCTCAGCTCCTGCTGTGCTCTTACCATCAGGCCTGAGGTGATCATTGCAAGACTAACCTCCGACGCTGCTCTGTCCCTCCGTGATACCCCCGGGCTGCCCCACACCCAGCTCTTACAGCTTCCTGGCGTGCCCTCCCTGTCCTCTAAGAAGGGCTGCGGTCTGAGCAGCATCTCTGCTTCAGGGGAGCTGTACTTCTTCATTGAGATGCAGGTAGCAGTCCCATCAGCAAAGGCTGCTAGCGTCATTAATGTGGTGGGGAGACAAACAACACTGGCACTGCATACCAAGTGGCATCACATTTAACTGAATCATTTTATTATGAATACATTCCGGGCTGCCACTGTGAGCCACTGGTGTAAAATATGCTGGCAAAATGTATCTCTGCTCATTATGTTTCATGCATATTTCAGAACTTTCTACAGGGATACAGGAGGATGGTGTTCATAAAAGGGGATTTTACAACCAAGTTCACTCACATTTGGCTCAAGACCCAAAACTATGGGTAACAAATATAAGTTCAATTGCATTACATGTAGTGTTTGTTTCATCTGGAATGTTGTACTTTCTTATAACTCTATCAGTAGTCACTGGCTGCAAATGAAAATCGCTCTTCAAATCCACCTAAACATTACTGTGGAACAGTACATAGCTATTAAATCATTTATTCTTTATGTTTGTTTTTTCTAGATTTACCTCCAGTTTTGCCTTAGATTGAATTAAGAAAATAAGCCTCTGGACTTGGGGATTTTTAAGAGAGTGACAGAAAAGGAAGCATCATTACCTGCTTCAGGACCGAATTGTACAGAACACAGGTGACTGCTTTCTCGTGGCTTTTCACACTCTTGCTAGCTTCACTTTTCATCGCCAGCAGTGCCAGCTGGTTATTAAATTAGATAAAAAGTCGTCCGTGGGCTTCATCAAAGTGGAAGAGGCATCTGAAGTCCTGACTTTTGGGGAAAGAACAAGCTATCCTCTGGATGGACAGCTGGTGTCGAATATCCCAGAGTCTCAAAACCTGGAAGAAAAGTGATGTCACTCATAAATCAAAGATAATTCTCGCATCTGAAGTCCTGACTTTTGGGGAAAGAACAAGCTATCCTCTGGATGGACAGCTGGTGTCAAATATCCCAGAGTCTCAAAACCTGGAAGAAAAGTGATGTCACTCATAAATCAAAGATAATTCTAATTTTTTAGCCAATTTTTTCTATCTCACCTTGACCCCAGGCAGACAGTTGTTTCCTCTACA